TTCATTAAGGTTGTTCTAATTTAAACCAAATATGTTGGCTTAACCAGAATTATGGTAAGGCAATGGATGATTGTAAATCAAATGAGTTGGCTCAACTCCATTCATTAAGGTTATTCAAATTCAAATGAAATGTGTTGGCTCAACATATGTTTTAAAGGTTCCTTTAACTCAGTTACTATAGCGTGACCCAGTGTAATGCAATACAGCCCGCCCAACTAATCTGCAATGTTTAGGACCAAATCATTGATGTTACTTCATTAAGATGAATGTGAATCTAGTTGAAACCACCTTATTTTACAGTGGTACCTTCACACTACCTGATTCAGTAGGTCCAACTCACTAAAAGCAAGTTAGCTCAACAAATATGCTTCATGCTAAAAGACAGCTAGTTAATCGTGTGGAAATCCTTTCCATTATTTCATGACGTTAATTCAAAGACATATTTTCAAGCGTTAATCAAGCATTTTAAGATAGCACTAGGTGAAAGTGTAGGAAGAACACTCAACAATTAGAAAAGGTACAACACAATTGTATTTTCAGAATTGTTATACATCGTTTTTTTACACAGCACAAAACACAGCTGAGTTGGACATTGAAATAAAAAAACAACTACAAAAGGTTACAGTTTCATTTCCCAGCCAATTCTTTACAACATAAAACATGTCATTATAGTTGCTCAACTTAGAGAACTGTAACAATATAAATCTTTTCTACTGCAGACTTTAAACACTCATTTTCCATATGAAACTTTGCTCAACTTAGCAGCGAGTTTCATATTGAGAACTTGTGCTTTCTTTGATAAGTTCTTTCCATCCAATTTCATTATTATTTTCTGTATTACTTCAAAGGTATGCTTGAGTTACTGAGCAAGTTGAGTGCTGAACGCACTAAACTTGAGGGTAGCTCAAGTTTAGTGCATAGATTAGTCCCAGCAGCATCACTATTGCAGAAGATACACTGCCCAAGCTGTTCATAACTTCCACCTCCTCCAGGACAATCCCAACATCCAGATGTGCATCGGCAGCCTCTGCACCCTCTGCTCAAATGACGATTCCGAGGACAGCCTCGGCTTTGGCCATTTCTGCGCATTCATCAACGTCCTAAGGGAGTTAGGGAAGGGTATTGGGGGAGAGACAATTCACATGTAATTAAATAAATAAATTAAGACTGACATTGATTGAGTCACTCATGGACCTTAGTTGGTGAAAGTATTTTAACAACTCTTAGGAGTTCTATTGTAAACACAAAGAGAATTTAACATACCATGTACTCCCTCACCAGCTTCTCTGGATCTTCATTTAGGTACACACAGACCTTTGAGGATGCACTCTCGTCTGACCTCAGCAGTGTCTTCCTAAATATGCAGATCAAAAAACAATGAGAACAATCTCAAAACTCCAGCAGTATAGGTTCACACACTTGAAAACATAGCTACATTCAAAGGAAGTGACAACAAAAGTGATCAGTGGCTTGCAGTCTATTTGAAAGATATTTAAAATTGTTAGTATCCCTTCATTATGCCATGACTAAAATGGAGTTTAACATCTCATTTAAACATCTAACTGAAGCTGTTAGAGGTTTAAATAAAGACATGAATATATCACCAAAGAAATATGTGAAAAGTACAGAATGGTCAACACAGTCTATATCCTTCTACTTAAATGAATATGCAAAGCATTCCATGTCTTACAAGTACATGGACAGTCTATGTGTGGGCATGGGTAACGTCGCATATGCCGGTGTTTAAGTGTAAAATGTTTTAACAGGTCATATCTACGAGACAGAGAGAGACTACACTCCTTACATTCCACATCCCCACGCAAATAAAGACAAATAAAACAGACTGGCCAAATAAATGTTTAGCTGAACTCTAGCTCTATAAGCTCTCTAACACTACATTCAGTCACTTTAGATCTGGCAAAACTTACTATTAGCCACTGAAATCTATAACTTGATAGCCGATGAGCCCCTGACCAGTACTTACGCAGGTGGATTACAGACAGGTGATGTTCTGAAAGAGATCAGATATATTTTCAGCCATTAAAATATGCAATTCATACTGAACTGAGTTGTATCTTTTAGTACAAGTCCCTTGAATGCCTCATGAATATAACCACTGGACACTTGTATGCAAGCACATATGTGCAGAACAATGGTGAATTGAACATGGTAGAAAGCAATAGTAACATAGGTCAAAATGAGCACAAACAATCAACACAAAAAACATCAACATTTCAAAATTAAACCAATGAACTTCAATATTGTTTCTGAGCTACAATTATTTGGGGACAACAAAGAAGAGTCCAAAAAACCCCAACATCTTTACAGCAGAGGAATATGTATTTTAAAGAAAAAAATAGAAAGCTCAAGTCTGTAATAATGGATAATCCATTGAGAGTTTTAGCCTGACAAAATATACTAGAAATCCATAACTAACAGGTATTTTAGGAACATTTAACAAAGCTCAGAAAGCAATGCTTTCTGCAGGTTTCACCGACTGAAATGTAGGACTTTTTATTACCATAATTAATTAAGAATCTCGATGATGATAGAAAGGTACCAAAGTGTGTGTGTGTGTGTATCTACATTTACCTCCATAGTAACATTACTGAAATAGAATTAAAATAGTTAGAAATAGACTGATGTTAGATCCGTGTGTTAAAAATCCACTAAACCTCCAGGGAGCTCAGGAGGAGCAAAACTGTGACATTTCCGGGGTCCATTTGTGTCTCTGGCAGCAGCTTTGTGACCCTTACACTACATATGGCTCTGCAGAGTTTTTTCGCACAGAATGTACCTAACATGGTGCGGCGATAAATGTAAACAAAAAGCTATCTGCCTTAACCTAACCGACTTAATCTACAGAACATGAAATAATGTGACACAAGTATGGAACAAGTAGAAAATGGTGCAAATGGTAGAGAAATTTTAAGTTACATATTTTTATATGGATTTAGATGAAAATAGTTTGACTCTTACCTTCTTCAAATTAAGTAGATGCACGCCAGGAATCTCCCCTCTGCCCTTGAAAAAACCCAACAAGGTGCGAGCCAGTTATCTCGCGTGATTTTCCGTAATCTCTTGATGTCGCTGGATCCTCTTCAGCGGGAGATGAGTCTGACACAATAGCGCTTTGGAACTGACGTCACTGTGTTTTTTTTTTATTAGATTAACTTTGACAAATATTGATATTGAATAAAAAAAAAAAAAAAAAAAAAAAATATATATACATATATATATATATATATATATATATATATATATATATATATATATATATATATATATATATTATATATATTTTCAACTATTTATATATATATATATATATATATATATATATATATATATATATATGTATATATATATATATATATATATATATATATATGTTTTTTTTATTTTATTTATTATTGAATTTTTATTGAATAAAATAAAAAAAAACATATATATATATATATATATATATATATATATATATATATATATATATATATATATATATATATGTTTTTTTTATTTTATTCAATATCAATATTTGTCAAAGTTAATCTAATAAAAAAAAAAAAATATATATATATATATAATATATATATATATATATATATATAATATATATATATATATATATATATATATATATCTTGGCACAGCCAAGATACTGCGCAGGACCCTCAAGCTCCCAGGCCTCTGGTAGAGGCCTGGGAGCTTGAGGAATTAGATGTATTCAAGTTGAGATAACGTCATTCAATCACGTTAGTTCAGTTGAGAGAAAAAACCGATTGTCTCGCGTGTTCTCGCGTGATATCCCGTGATCTCACTCGTTGTCGTCAGCACAATATCAGTCTAACTATAATGAATCATGTTAGCTCAACATGATTCAATTTTATAAATGTGAAGTCGTGGAATATCTTGTTTATCCAACATGATTTTATCACGTTTTCGCTTCAAACCCAACATTATTGTGTGAAAGGTACATGATATTTTTTTGTTAATGTAATACCCCGACGTTCTTTTTTTTGGCGTAAGATCTAGCTGACGTAATTGAATCACGTTATCTCACCTTGAATACATTTTATTCCATTTGCGAGAAAAAAAACCGATTGTCTCGCGTATTCTCGCGTGATATCCCGTAATTTCCCGTAATTTTGCGTGAACTTGCGTGATATCGCGTGATCTCACTCGTGGTCTTCAGCATAGGATCGGTCTGACTATAATGAATCATGTTCGCTCAACATGATTCAATTTTATAAACGTTGAAGTTGTGGAATATCTTGTTTATGCAACATGATTGTATCATGGTTTTGGCTCAAACATGCAATTATTTAGTTAACAGTACATGATCTTTTGTTAATGTGATAACCCCTGAGGTTCCTTTTTTACAGTGTAGATAAGGACAAGATCACATTTAGTAAGCTAATGTCTGGTCCATAAAAACAGCTGAAGAATCCAGGCCAGACTATTTCTCAACAGGTTTATTTTTTATTTTATTTTTTTAGACAAAAAACTCAATAACCAGAGAGTCTAATCTGCACAACTAAAACCAGAAACAAACCAGGGAAGTAAAGAATCATGGAGAAAAAAAGCGATGGACACAATTAAATGAAACGTCAACTAAACGATGGGAGACTATGTTCGCAAACATCTGAGCATAAACCAAATCTGCACAAATGAGGACAAGAGGAAATCTGCTTCCACAGTGATCTGCTCTGTGTTGGTTTCAATCTGTTTTTCAAAATTTAAGATTATTTGCAGGAGCAAAATGCATTGATCCATGCAAGAACATAATTATTTTCTTAAGGAAACAGCTTTATAAACTTTATAAAAATTTCCACATGATTTCTAAAGCTTATATTTGGAGATACAGCTGACAGTGGTTGAGGCTAAAGAGGATAACGCTCCACGGTCTTTCGTGTATGTGACAGGGCCGGGTGAAGGCTTCCACTAACTCTGTGGACACTGTAACGACCTGAACGTTTTGGGTTTGTTGCTCTACTCACGACTCAGTTTTGTAGGAGGAACACCTCTCGAGAGGGATCTTCAGGACTCTGTCTTTGAGGCCAACGAAGAGCGATCGGTCGCTGTGCAGGATCTGAAGGCTCAGGATCGGCTCTCGGACGCCGGGCGGATGGAGCTCCATCTCCTCCAGGTAACAACCCTGCAGGTTTTTGTTGGGCGTGGCCAGAGCCTTCAGGATGGTGCCGTATTCTGAACAAAAACAACACAAAACAAAAAGACGGGTCTGTAAAAAGAAAAGACGAAAAATCAAGCTTTCCTTTTAGACCAACACATCATCCGATTTGAGACAAACCAAACCTGTGCTGATGTACATGACGTGGAAAAGGGTGTCCATGCCCTGGACGATGTCCACCACCAGGTTTGAGAAGCGGACGTCGTCCTGCATGACCAGAGGATTCACGGACTCTGGCTGCACCACGTCGTTCATCAGGTACAGCCGCTGCGCGTCCTGAAGGCTGCGCTCCGTCAAACCCTCATTGGGACCTTTGTCATTTATGGTGCCACACTGCAGAGGGGAAAACACAAAGCCAAGAGGCGTTTGCAAATTAGATGCATAAAAGGTTGTAAAGCAAACGAGAAAACAAGATTTATTTAAATGATAAATGTACAAAGCCATGTTCTCGACAGTTGTTTTGTTGATTTTCAAGGAAATTGCTGGAGTTTCATCATCAACACGTTTTTTTTATTTTCATTTTTATCTTCAGTAAGTTTAAAAACACTTATAATTAAAGAAAAAGGGTTTGTAGCTAAAATTGTTTTGTGGATAAGAAAAATGTTCCAAGTTTTTTAATACACTGTGTGAAATAAATATTGCAGACCAGAGAAGTACCAAAAGCAAGTCAAAAACTAAAAAACGTGAACCTTTAAGATCCGATATCGAGCAACTATCACATGGTTTTTACTGCATTCAAACCCATTTTAAAGGAAACAATTCTTCCTATAATCCGTGGAGAGATATCTGAAATTCATTCAGGCTGCAAGACAGTGAGAGATAACAGTTAACAGGAACGGTTAAATGGAGAAGAGCATTAATCTCTTAGAGGTTTCTGTCTGCCAGGAAAGGAACACCGCCGATTTGGAAATGCTAGCAGCCCTTTAGAAATCCCTGATTTAAAGTAAGAATGCTGTTTCACAAAGGCCAGACTCACCAGCCGTGTTGAGAGCTGATGCTAAAGTCTGCTTCAAAAGTCAAGCCCATAGTTATTTAGGCTTTGCATTAGTAGTAATTTAAAATAGCTGTTTTAAATGACTAGATTTCACCTCATTTGCTTTCACTGCTCCTCCTCAAGTCTCTTTCTGGTCAGATGGTTATAAAAAGTTGTGCTTTCTGCCCATGGGCATTGCAATTATTATGAATGACATTTCCCTCCCTGTACAGAAAAAAACTCATATGATTCAAACTCTCCTGGTTTTCCTGGTTACCTACAACTCAACGCACTGCATGCTTCGAGCATCAGCAACAAACAAGGTGACCAAGTCCGACTGACGTCTCACAACGTCTGGCTTGACAGAACTGTGCTGGTAGCTCAGTTGTAGTAACAGATGATTGAACTGCAGACAAGTGTAAAGTGTCTTTGCTGGAAGGAAGCTGAACAGAGGCAGAAACTGACATTTCCCAAATTGAATGACTTATATATTATACTTTTTACACTTATAATAGGATTGAAAAAGGAGGAAATTCAGTCCGCTGATATAAGAATACAAAAGCTGATGATGATGTATGGAAAATTGTGCCGCTCAAGGTTGTAGCACATTGGAGTAGCTCTGTTCTTTCATTGAGAATTTTACTTTTTACACTTATATTGCTCCCTTTCTGGAGGAAAAATAGCTTTTGTTTGGACAAAAGTTCATTTTTGTTTTATAAGCTTTTTACACTTATATAAGCAATATAAGTGTAAAAAGTAAAATAGTAAAATTTTAAAAAAGAATTTTAAAAAGTAAAATTCTCAATGAAAGAACAGAGCTACTCCAATGTGCTACAACCTTGAGTGGCACAATTTTCCATACATCATCATCAGCTTTTGTATTCTTATATCAGCGGACTGAATTTCCTCCTTTTTCAATCCTATTACCTCAGCAGGGAATATGATAACTCTCGATACATAACTGTTTATTGTCTGGGCCTTGTTTCTCTCATTGGAAACAAATAAATAAAATAGTCCGCAAGCTGCACTTAAAATGAGAACCAAGACAGGCGGGTGAGGCAGAGAGAAAAGCCGCATGCGTCTCACGAGCCGAGCGTTAGCGACTCCCGCTCAAGCTGACGAAGCCCTCCCCTCTCTTCCACATTACAAATGCTTGTGTCGCCTCGGTACCTGCCCATTATAATCCTTGGACGACAAGAACTTCTCTTCTCTTTGGACCACTCTCTGAATCCGCGAAGCCCTGTTTCTCAACCCGTCTGGGACTTGGGGGTCGTAGTTCAGGTGTCGGCTATGGCTGCAGCCCCATTACAGATGCATCAACAGACTGCTGCATCCATACTAATTTGAGGTGCCAGATTGAACCATTACACTGACATCAGACTAATTTAGCGTAATTGTGATGTGTGGGAGTGTCTGATCCCGATCCTCAGAGGCTGCTGTCCTGCATATTTTAGACGTGTCCCTGCACCGAGTCATCTGATTCAATCATTGCGGTTATCTCCTGTAGGTCTGCAGGAGCCTGCTAACGAACGACTCATTCATCTCAGTCATGCATGTTTAAGCAGGAAAACATCTAAAACACGCAGCCCTGGAAAACAGTTACCAGCCTCCTGCACACCTGAAGACATTGTGTGACAATAATTTTGTTTTTCTTATTATTTCTTTATTCCTCTGTTAAGTAAACAGTTTGAAACTCTGTCAGACTTTCTTACACGTTCTTCCTGACATAATAATCCGTTTGTGGGTTGTTCTGTTTTACTCACAGCCAGATGTTGATTTAATTGGGATCGTATGAGAGAGACCAACGAATGAGCTGTGGATCATCGTGAAATGAAAGGAGAGTGACACAGGATATGAAAAGTGAAGCATGCTTACATGTACCATCCCCCTTTCCACCGATACCCATAAGTGAAATTCAACACAACAAAAACAGATTCAGTTAGTTCAGCTGTGCTCAATTTAATCTGTGTAAATCCAGCCGTTGTGTGAAACAATTAGATTTTAAGATAACATTCGAAAGCATCGCATTAGACGGGCTGGGGAAAATGTGGAGACAGCATGGTGGTAGTATTATGGTATGGAAAGGATTTTCTTCAATAGAAACATGGAATCTTTCCATGTTTGGTAGATGCAGAGCAACTGCGGAAGAAAACACATTGGAGGCGTCAAAAGACTTTTGGATATTTACCCACCAGAAGGACAACGATCCTGAAAAGACATCAGAGCCACAACAGGACAACTCACATCAAGGGGTGTGTATGTGTTGGAATGGCTCCGTCAAACCCCAGACATGAATCCAATTGAGAATTTTTGACAGGTCTATAAAGAGTTTATCGCTGGTTTTCATCCAATCTGCCAGAATCTCTTCCAACTTGCCAAGAAGAAACATTAAAATCAATAGAAACTCAACCCAGTTGTTCCTAGCAGCTTGGCACAAAAACAACCATCAACATTTTAAATAATTATTTTTGCAAGTTGGATAAAACTTGTTGGTGACCTACTTTTTAGATCTTATTTTTGTTTCCTTTCCTCTGGTCACAGCTCATGCCCTGCTGACATTGAAATGACAATTCTGCGTCAGTCGCTGAGAGACTGTGTGTGGAAACCAACCTGGAAGTTGTGGATGGGGTTGGGTGTGGGGAGCCAGGTGGAGCGGGGATTCTCCTGGGAGCGGAAGGGTCCGTTGAAGGTTTGGGTGATGGCGCTCAGGTTGAAGGCACACACTGCCGAGGCTGCGATGCTGTTGCTGTTGCAGCGAGACGGACAGAAAGCAAGAAATAAAAATCACACACAAAAAAAAGTCATGCATTTCAAATGTGATGTTCGTTAGAGCAGCATAGCTGTGGATGTTTTTGCAGCTTCCATCCTCCATAATGCAGCTGTTATGCGACACTAAACAGCCGATATGTGTCTGGCTTGCTTTGCTGCAGGCTAATCTATGCTATCGCTGCTGCACAGTGACAGCGGACGGTATTAAGCTGAGGAGATTGGAGGAAAGTGTACAGATGATGAGCAAACAACACGCACATATACACCCAGAGTTGTTTTTAGAGGTCACTACAGCTAAACTACTGGTATTTAGCCGTAACAAGCTGTAAGCCGATGAGTTTCTTAACCGCCCACAACTGTTGACAGATTCTCCACACACGCACACAGAGATGTCTGACTGCTACGATGGGCTGGCCTCTGAGAGACTGATATATCTCCACTTATCGACTGGTAATGTTATGATGAAAGACTGAGACAGATGCAGGGGGGGGAAAGGTCCACAGCATGAGAGAGAGCATTGTTGTGCAACTGTCAGCTAACATGAGTTTTGAAAATCTTTTAAAATATCTTCGAAAAACAAAAAGACAAAAAGATGCGACGACCTTTTTGAACGTCAAAGGCTTTTGGAAAAAGGAAACAAAAGAACAGATAAAGTATAAAAACCTCAAAATGCAACTATAACGGCTGAGTTACACTTTTAGAGCACACAGTGGCAATGATGTGATCACATATATCTTTGTATTTTGCCAATCATTTGAGAGGTTCAAGAATTTCCTACTTCATGACTTCTCAGCTAAATATCAGCAACAATAGCCGTTCTTCTCCAACAGCCAAAGAAAATCGGCTCTCAGAAAAGTAGAAAATCCCTTGAAAATTAGACGTGAGCTCAGCTCACAACCGGGTGTGAAAAGTGCAACACAAAGACGCAGAATGTCTTTAATACTTGGCTTTATTTTCTTCTTCTTTGCTCTGAAAGGTGAGATTCTCTTCAGATCTGTAAAGCAACAGAAGCGCTCCGTTATCACCGCCGGGCAGGGAAGCTCTAAACGAGTTCTGGCTCAACACAGAGGGAAGTCAAACAGGTGGCTCATTCGCCGACTCCCAGGCTACGGAGCAACACAACCTCCAGACTTTCAATAAAAAAAATGAGTTTCTTCCACACTCTGGTCTGAGGCCTCGGATAGAGACGAGCTGATTGAATCTCTGCTGCAAACTCACAACAAGGTCATCCCATCCGAAGGGAAATGACGATAAAATAAGATGGTGGCACCCTGGGGGTTGACGAGGGGCCGGCTACTACTGTTTTGCACATTCACAAACTCAGAGAGATAGTTTGATGTAAAAGGAAGCAAAACTCCAGGCTCGTGGGTTGAACTGTAGTTGCGGCTTCTTCTATTTCTTCTGCCTGGCAGACTCTGACACTGTCCAGACTGTTTAGGAGGCCTTCTCTGACAGCGGGTTGCCGCACACGATGTCAGGAGAGCATAGTGAAGGCTGCGCTGAGAGAAATACAGTCAATTGCACTAATGGATGAGACCCATATGGCTGGAGTCGGCTTAAAAGCCCAGGAAAGTGACAGGAAAGCTGTTTGACATCTGCAGCGTTGGTTGCTGTCGCTTTGCTTTGCGGCTCTTCAGGGTCCGGCGCTGCAGGGACCACTGTCATCATGTGGAAGGACGCTTCTTCTTCTTCTGCTTCACGTCGGTCCAACTGAGCCTTTCTTGTCCTCTTACACTCCCCTCTTGATTTTCCCATTTTGATTTACAGAGCCCATTCTTTACCCCTCAGATATTTTCACTCTTCGATGTAACCAACAGAAGACGGGAGAAGTTTGTAGCCCAGTATTTTATTATCATTATTATTCTTTTCTTAAGCGGCGCACAAAGAAAACGGTACGGGAAAATTACTTCCAGGTTTATGGAAATGCTTTGCGCCGACTACGTTCCAAGATTTACGGACTGCAAAAGTATTCTTTTTCTCTTCTTTACAGGCAAAAGAGTCTCAATGAAGCGCCGCCCGTCTGTCATGCAAAGAACTCCTTTAAAAAGCAGCCGGGGCGGCAGGAGCGGCTGCATTCCTGACCTCAGCCATGATTGTAGTAATTCATTGCTTAGTTTCTACCAAAACTATCCACAGAGTGGCTCAAACATTCCCTCTCATGTTTTATTAAAAAAAAAAAAAACATCTTCAAGGTGTTAACAGGTTGCTGCCTGACAACAAATGCTTCCAGTGTTCTCAGTGGATGTTGCTCTTTTTAGACCAGAATTGGGAAATTTAACTTGACATGGTTGGTTTGTGGGTAAAGAAATACTTTTTGAGCAGATTTCTAGCTGAGACAAAAGATTTTCTTTTTCTTTTTAAAAGCTTGATGCTAAATCAGGCTTCAATTCGTCCACATAGGACGACACCCATGTGGACAAATAATAAGGTGCAAATAAAGGAAATGACCCGCCAGGGAACGCCCTCTTTAGGGCGTAGCTTAGACAGAGGTCATCAAGGAGAACCACAAACTATTATTAGACACAATAGTTGGATATTATTGTATTTTAAGGGCTGCAAGGTGGTGCAGTTGGTAGCACTGTTACCTTGCAGCAAGAAGGTCAGGTTGATTGGTCTCTTTGTGAGTGTGCATGTTTGTCTTGTCTGTCTGTGTTGCCCTGCGACAGATTGGCGACCTGTGCAGGGTGAACCCGCCTCTCGCCCGAAACATTCACTAGAGGTAGACACTAGCACCTGCTGTCCCCATGAATCCATGAATTCATGTGACTGACTCTTCTTGAACCCACATGGAGAAAGGATAATCCTCCACAACACACATCGTTTAGGATTAGTTGAAATCGAAAGCTGACGTGAATGTTAGGGGAGCCGTGTTGCTTTGTTTATTTTGCACACAGAAATGATGTTGAACGTCGCATTACAAGCCATCTCCTCTCAGTTGTTGGAATCTTTTGAAAGCTCATCTCTGGCCTTTTTTATGCTGGAATGCGTCGAGTTTCTTCACAGGGCGAAGCTGGTAATATTTCCTGTTTCTTCCTTTTATTAGCCAAACACTTGATAGACCCAAACCAACAGTGAACTGACCTAATTAACAAGCGCCGCAAGTGTATCTGAACTATATTATTAATCTGAGCCACAGGACTCCACCGAGCCACACAAACTCTTTATCACAATCAACACACACACGCACACCCACGCACGCACACACACACACACACACACACGCATGTCTGCACACGCAGCAAAGTTTATTTTGACTCCATCCCTGCTCTTCGCAGCCCTGCTGCCAGGAGCAGTAATTAGAGGACCTGATGAGAATTTATCCGCTGATGAAAACGATCCCCCGACGCATTCACTGTTCACTTCTGTTTGAAGAGCCAGCTGTTCCAGGAAATTGAATATGAAGTTGTATTCAAACATTTTCTTTTACAACATTTAATAATTCCAAGAAACCCACGGCCCTTTCCCAACTCTTTGACCCGGCAGAGACGGGTGATTTCACAGCAGATGAACCTCAGCGTTAGGAAATAAAGGGAGTTAGACGAGTAACGAAGCCCCGGCAGAGCCTCGGCAGAAATCTGTGATGATCTGCTCACCAGAGAGACTCGTTAAACAAAAACAAGAGGCCGGTGTGCATCGCCGCGGATTGTTTCAATCCCACCTCAAGCTCCTGCAAGAGTAAAAAATGATTATTTATTGTTTATTTCTTTTAGATTTTGCAAGCTGAAATCATAAATGTTGATGCATTTTACAGAAGCACAATGCAGCACAGAAGAGGGAAGCGGAAAGAAAACGTTTTTTTTTTTTAACTCCAGACAAAAACCTGACGATGTGACGAGCGTCACCCTTTGAAACAACATTCCGCATTTCATGCGACTATAACTGCGGGTTTATTGGCGGTATTTTTTCTATTGGTTTCCTACAGACTGAAATATATGCTTGTTTGTCTTTGTGATGTTACTAGAACTCGATCATTTTGGACAAAAATGTAGCCGCAATTTTACCCACCGACGTGGAACTGCGTTCTATACTTTGTCTGGGAAATTTTAAAAGAGCAAATTTTATTTGTGATTGCATTTTTTTTAATACAAACCTTTTCCTGTTTACATCACTGCTGACTCAGTCCATCTATGTTTTCTACTTCATATGAAATATTATGGGGAAAAGGCAACGGCTAAAATCCACATTAAGGCCAATATTTCATCCTCAGTGAAAAGCCACCATTACAGCAGAAAAGGCAGAAAAAAGGCCCACTCAGCAGAGCCACAAGGCTGCAGGGACCAGAAACTGAACAGAGGCCGTCGGCATTAGCCATACATATTTTTACAATGCACACCCATATAGGTCAATATGCAGCCAGATGGAGCCAGCAGCATCAACTCTAAACAATACAACGGAATAGAGATCTGATCGGTTTAATGATCAGGAAAAACATCTCAACGAAAGTTGAGGCAGAGATACAGCCTTTGGTCAAAATAATGAGCATTTAATCTATTTATTTTTATTATAATCCACCCGTAAACTACTCCGCTGCTCCGCCTACTGTTGGATGAAAGGCTCGCTGTTAGCTTTAGCTTCAATTTGAAACCAGGACATTGTGAAGAAATCAAATCAAATCAACCATAGTTGTAAAATCATTTATCCTTTTACATCTGGGGACGTTTTGTTGATGCCGCGCCGATCGCAAAGAGTCGCTTTCACACTTTGAAACGACAGGACGTAGCTCCTCTTCCATTAAGAACTGAGACACGTTATAACATTAGGATTGATTTTATTTTCAGTCGATTTGGTTAAGTGTCTGTTTGTTTCATCGACGAAGCTGCTAACACCGACATTAAGGGCAACAGAAACGACCGGAAAACGTGACGGATGGTTGAAGGTCTTCCAGGCCAAATTTAATAAAACACCTTTTTAAAATTCTTAAACTAAATGATTAAAGAAATGCATATTTGTTTCTTCTGTTCCTTAATTTACTTCAGC